GCTCCCAGTGTCAAGAGCGTGGGGCTAGGGGCACAGGGCACCGGACAAGAACCCACTGGGATTACCACTGCAGCTCTATTAGACATGGGCAAGCCACCTGGCAACTTTCAGGGTAAATTAAGGAAAGACAGGGCGGTGAAAGAGCAAAACATTCGGGCCCAACATCCTGTATTTCTGATTCCTTTAGCTTCTCTGAGGCCAAAGAAAAAAGCAGCCATGATTCTTTAGTCACAATGGCTGCTGGTTATTAAAGGCTGAAGTTCCCACCCAGCTCAGCTCAAAGATCAGTCTACTTAGTTATGTGGTTGGTTAGATCTCCTGGGTATGGTTGGCTGTGTTGAAGACTTGTCACCAGGCTTTGACGATGAAGAAGTAGGGGCTTTAGAGGCAGAAGGTATTAAGTATGAAGCTGCTGGGGTTGTGTCTTTGAAGGCGATACTGGGATCCCGGCCCTTCTCTCTTTGCTTCCAGGATGCCTGAGAGAACAAAGAGTGCTATCAGCAGAGGTTCAGCCTCTTGCCCAAAAGCAAAGTGGCCCTGTGAGCATAAACAAAAATCTAAAACAATGACACAAAGTGACTCTCTCCTTTTTAACTTGTTTACCGCAGGCATTTCGTCAGAACAGAACGCAACTATACCTCTGCAAGCTTGAAATGCCAATGCTAACACAATGGCAGAACTAGACCCCTCCCTCCTGCCTCACATCCTCATTCATGGTGGGGAGTCTCACCTCCTAGTCCTTCCATGTCGTCTCAAGTGTCAACACGGCAAAGACTTCCAGCCTTTTGGGTTAGCTCCAACACTTAATGGGCTATCCTCAGGCAAACTATAACCTCTCTACAGCCTTTGTTTCTTCATTTGTGAAGACATGGTAACGCCATTCTTCTAGTGCTGGCTTTTTAAAGTTATTTATGTGCATGTATTTATGGGTATGAATATGCTTGCATGTATGTATGTAGCCAGGGCCCGCAGAGGCCAGAAAAAGGCATCAGATCCCCTGGAACTAGAATTACAGGTGTTGTAAGCTGCCATCTGGGTACTGGGAACCAAACCTAGGTCCCCGGGGAAGCAGTCAGTGCTCTTAACAGTTGAGCCATCTTTCTAAGCCTTCTGTTTTTTAAATAAAGATTAATATGTATGTCTCCATAAACCCAGCAGCAAGCAGCCACTGCCCGAACGAGGTACAGCAGGGTGGCACCACGCTGCCCGGGCAAACCCCTCCACTCGCTGTGCAGCTTGACGAGACTGAGAGGATCAAACACGCCAATCGGTGAACCGCAAAGTTGGGTGCTGGGGCGATCACCCGATGGGCAGAACTGCTTCCTGCCAAGCCGGGCAACCTGAGCCCAGTGTCTGGGATCCAAATGGCGGAAAGACAGGACAAACTCCTGGGTGTTGTAC